CTCTATCTTAAAGAATAAATCAAAACTTCCTCTGTGCTCCGTTGTAGGGTGGGGGCAAGAAAGGAGCAAAGATAACATTCCTGGGAGGCCTCAGTTCTTCAAAGCTGAGGAAACATTTGCCTCTTTCCCCTTGTTAGAGTTAGACATTTGGCCTCTGAATGCTGAAGAACCACTCCTGTGTTTCAGTTGTGAGAAGATATGGCTGAGATTAATTGCTTTCTCCATCTCCTTTCTGCCATTTTGGGAGCTAGTGGTTGTCACCACACTCAAGGTCAAAGAGTTATAGCCACATGCAAGGCATCCCTCCGGAGGGTGGAGTTTCTCAGTATTCCTGCTGACCCAAAAAGGGGCACGCAGGAGGGAGGGAGCCGTGCCACCCAACAGAGTGTTCAGAAGCACAGATGGGCTTCAGAGGAGACTAGAAGATGCTGCCTTGAACACAGACAGGTAACTTCCACCTCAGTGTACATACAGCAGGGCTATGCAGGAGAGAGAGAGTATGGACAGCAGATTACAGTTGCTTATAGCTTCCTGCAGCCTTATCCCTTCCTAATCTTACCATCTCTTCCACCTCCCAACTCCTCCCCCCAGACTTAGAGAAGGCAAGAATCAACCCAAAGCAAATAGGCTTTAATTTTCTGCAAAATATTTGCTCTATAAAAGATGTTTCCCTTGGTTTTAGAGACCAGGTACTTTTTTTTTTTTTTTAGTTTTGAAGGTCATCAGGCTGAGCTCATTCTGTCGTCTTCTAAGTAATGAAACAAAATAAGACAAAACCAAAAACAAACACACAAACAAAAATCCACCCAAAAACTCGATACACCTTAACCTATTTACCCTAAAAGAATCAGTTCAAAAGTCCCCTCCTCCATTGACCTCCCTTGGTTTCCCATGCCACCCTACAAGAGAGAGTTGGTCCCTCCCTCCTGTGGATGGGCCCTAGGGTACTATTCCCAGCCTTTCGGGGGCTCATGGTGCTCCTGACTTGGAAGTCCTCAGGGGCAGAACTGTGTCTTAGCCATGTGTGATGCCCAGAGCCAAGCCCAGTGCCTAGCAAAGAGATGCTGCTCCATAAAGTTTAGCTCCCCAAATGCTAGCTTCCTTTGTGGCCCTGGCCATGATGAGCAGTCAAGGCCCTACAGAGTGGGAAGTGACCCAGTTGGGTAGCTGGGAAAGAGGCCAGGTCTAGGACAGAGCAGCTCAAATATTCTATCGAGGAACATTCCACAAGAGACAGAGACTAAGAAACTTCAGAGGAATTTCCCAATGGTGAGTTTTTATGTTGTGCTGAGTTTTTTCCTGGCTCACCTCGGCATGCTCAACCCAGTGTAACATTTGGCTTCATGCCCTCCTCTAGGTACACTGTTGGTATTTTCATGTCCCATCTGCCAGTGCCTCTGGAGGACATTAGGATAAGTGGGTTGATCCAGAAAGGACATCCACTGTCCTGGCCCTCTACCTAAGACATGAAAATGGAGAGCAGCTTCCCAGCCACAAAGCTTTTGCCTGTGCCAAAGGCGTATTATTTTAAATATGATTATTATCCATAGCTACTATAGATTGAACAGGTACTAGGCGCACTATGCTAAGTCCTTTGCTTGCATTCTTTCATTTCATTCTCATTTAAAGAATACACAAGGCAGATATTATCATCTCCATTTTAGAAATAAGAAGTTACAATCTTGTAACTTGCCCAAAGTCACACAACTGATAAATGGCAGAGTAAGGATTCAAACCCAGATCTGGCAGACACCAAAGCCCATTTTCCCCACACCATGGTGCCTCTCCAAAACTTAACCATCTAGAGGATGAAACCCATAACAATAAGCCCACCTAGTAAAAGCAATTGAAATTACCAAAGCTGTACTCTGAGGTAAATTTATAGCTCTCAATTCTCATATTTATTTTTTAAACTAAGCATTCAATTTAAGAAATAGAAAAAAAAGTTTAAAATCTCAAGTAAATGAATATAAAATAAGATCAATTAATTACAAATGGAAAACAGGGGGCCAGCCCAGTGGCACAGCGGTTAAGTCCGCACATTCCACTTCTTGGTGGCCCGGGGTTCGCCAGGTCAGATCCCAGGTGTGGACATGGAACTGCTTGGGAAGCACCGTGCTGTGGCAGGCATCCCACATATAAAAAAAAGTAGAGGAAGATGGGCACGGATGTTAGCTCAGGATCAGTCTTCCTCAGCAAAAAAGAGGAGGATTGGCAGTGGTTAGCTCAGGGCTAATCTTCCTCAAAAAAAAAAAGGAAAACATCAATAAAATGGACAAAACAGACTTTGCCATAAGATGGTGGCAGCCTACACCTTGCTCCCTCTGTGGAGTTCCCAGGAATGAACTAGTGACCTGAGCTGACATTCATACTGATACGAAAGCTTTGCTTCTGAGAAATATAAATGCCCAGAGATCTGGGCATAAGTAATGACAGAAGCTGTTGGGCCCCTGGTTGGTGTAAGGGTCTGGGCCCTGAGAACTTGCCTGATCTGCTTAAGTGGTTGTCACACCTGCCCAAGACACCCTTGCAGGCTGGATGCAACAGGAGCCTGCAGCTTGAGTCCCATGCCCCACTTTTCCTGAAGACCACACTATCCCTTTTAAGTCTACCCAGATATAGTCTATCAGCTGCAAGATCTAACATTGTCAGCATGTGGCTGTGCCTGCCTCCAGATTGGGGAGATTCGGCAGGAGCTGAGGAGGAAAGAAAGCACAGAGTTTTATTTTTCCCTGAATTATTCCTATGCTTATAAGGCAATCTTATGAAACAATTGTTCCATGGCTTTAAATCTAGTAAATAAACTCCCTTTGAGACTCCGGTTTGAAAGATGGTGAAGATCAGAGTAACTACATTGTTTATGTAATAAACACACACCCAAAACTGTAACATTTTTATAATGAAACCTGGTGTAATAAAATTTGTGTTGAGGCAAAAAGCAGTCATTTTTCCCCCAGCTTTTATTGTGCTGAATGCAATATCTGCCAAGCCCTACTTGGAGGCATCTTTGATTAAGTGCTTGGTCTCCCCACTTGGGAGCTGTCCAGAGTTGGCGGGGGTGCCATGACCTTGCTGACACTAATGCCAGAAGATGCCAAACTCATAAAGTACCAGCAGCTCCGAGAAGTTTGAGCCCTCTGCCATGCAGCCCTGCAAACTTCCCCATCCCTCCCTGGCCAGCCAGCCACCCCCAGGCTTGGATCTCCAACTCTCCAAGGTAAACTGGGTCAAGCTGTTCTAAAGGCCTTCTCCCCATTGTTCTCCTTGAGCTTAGGCTGGAAACTTCTGGCAGGCACCCGTAAGGGCCTTTTTTTGGTACTCTCTTCCATTACTTAGTCCTTCAGGCCTGATGAATACTACCTGGCAGTTGGACACTCTTCCCTGAATCCACTGATCCTTATGAAAATATGTGAACTTAGGTCCTTAATTGTCTCACTCAGTTCCCTGAGAGAAATTGGGGGTTAGAGTGGGAGTGGAGTCCTTACTTCTTACCTAAGTCAGTGATTCTTAACCCTGGCTACACATTGGAATCTACCCAGGGAGCTTTTAAAATAATGCACTGATGTCTGAGTCCATCCCCAGAGATTCTAATTTAATTGGTCTGAAGTGTGGCCTGCACATCAAATAATGGTTATTCATCATAAAAGCATATATGATATTAGGGATTTGGCTTTGAACAACTTCTCCACCCCCAAATTCAGAGACTGCAATACCCTGAAGAAACTAACAGAAGTTCAGTGGCACCCACCAGAAGCTTCCTGGTTCACAGGCATGTTCCCTTCCCCTCCTAAGGGATCTTACTTAACAAAGCAGGCACAAACCAGTGCCTTCCCATCACCACACCTGGAAAAGCAACTCAGAGGAGGGAGTGTTTGTTCTCAGATGGCAGGGCCGAACAACGCTTGAATCGAAGAGGGCTGCATACAACCGCATTGGTAATGGCTAGGCCAATGCATGGCCCTTGGAGCATGGCCACGCTATACATCAGTTTCCACAGAGACAGTGGAGGCAAATGCGCGATAAGGTGGTTTAGCTGAGGCAAGGAGAGCGGAGGCTTCAACAATCACACTGCCTACCCTCTGCTTGCTCAGCATGACTGGGGGAGAGGCGTAGAGTCTATAGGAGAAATATAAGAAAGGCACTGTCCCTGACATCAGGAGCCTGAGTTAAAACGGAAGGACTAACCCTAATGCAGGACGAATATTGCAAATAGTTCAACACTTTTCAAACAGGGCTCAGTCGTGTGGCTAACTTTCCCTGATAAAGAAATATTGTGAAGGAGGGTTTAGAGGACTAAAGAAGTCATGACAGGCCCCCTGAAATCTTAAATGGCCTTAAACAGAAACTAGAAATTGGAAACTTGGGTCTGGGGACTCCCAGTTCAGGGCTGTTTTGGGGCCATAGGGAGATACATAAATCTTTCTGTATAATCTCTGGATGAGGGTGGGATACTGAGGAATTCCAGGAAGACAGGAGGGGGCGGGGTGCCAAAGGAGAAGAAAGGGACAAGCAGGCCCAGTGCCAGCCAGTGCAGGATGCAGGCCTGAGCCTACAGTGGCCTCTCTCCAGTATCCCCAGACTAGAGCCCGAGACTCCTGCCCTGAAACCCCCACCTGGACTACCCTCTGGGCCCTCTTGGAAGACATGCAAATATCAGAGCAGAGGAGGAGGGAGAAAGGCTTGCCTTCTCTGTCTCAAGTGGTCCAGCACCTCAGAAGGAGCACAAAGTTGAAAACTTTTCCAGCCAAAATGGAAAAGTCAAAGTCCTCAAAGCTTAGAAGCCGCTGCCCACAAATATCAAGGTCAGCCCTGAGGGTCAGACACGGCCTCTCTTCCTCATGTCTGTTCCTGTGAAAGGGCTCACGTTCTTCAGAAAATATACTTCTCATTTGTCCCAGAATAGGAAGCGGCTGCAGTGCAAGCCCCTCTCCATTAGGCCTGGCCTCCCCCAACCCACCTCCTTCTTTGTCCTGCCGGGAAATGCTGCAACCCCCAAATACCTGCATTCTTGGGCATGCAGCAGGCGAGAGGCATGCTTGGATTCCAGCTCTGCTTCTTAAGGACGGGCCTTTTCTTTTATCCAAAGCCCTCTCGGAGTCCCAGAGAGCCGAAAGCTGATCTGCTTAAGTCGGCAGGCAGAGCAGGGGGGTGGGAGGGCGAGAGAGGGCAACCTTCGGCAAGGACGGTGGCAGATTTTCACACAACATCTGCGCTGCCTCCAGGACTCCCCCCTGGAGGGGGAGATGGTCTCACCCAAGTGCTGGGCCAGCTGCTAATCCCTCCAGGGTTCACTTGAATGGCAAATCAGGACTCCAGGGCAGCCTCTGACACACCCTGTCTCCAGAGGAGGGGCTTAGCACTTTCTTTTTCCAGCCCTGGAGGACTTTAGAATGCAGTGGTACTTTTTACAGCCTCACTGCTTCAAGTGCAATAGGCCAGGTGGTCAGTAGCATGGCATCACCTGGGAGCTTGTTAGAAATGCAGACTCTCAGGTCGCATCAGTTTGAGAAGCTCTGCCAAGTGCCACGTGGCTATGGAAACCCTTAGCACACTGCCAGAGACAGGAAGCTGGACAAATACTAAAACCTAGGGAGCCACAGCAGCCCAGCCCCTATGCCAACTGTCCAGTTGTGACAAGGAATACGTCCCATTCCATCACCCCACAGCTGCCCCACGTTGCCACCCATTCTTGTCACCAGGCTGGGGCTGGTTTACTTGGCTGTGAAATTTTAGGCTAGTGTGAGGGTAAGCTGTTCAACAGGTCTGCAAATATTTGCAAACACACTGAAAGGATGGGGGCGGGATACAATTAGAGTTGGCTCTTTGCAGGTTGCAAATCAATTTCTGATCCCCTCCCACCAGCAACCACACACCACCTGTATCAACATGTTAGACTCCTGCAATGCCAATAACAACAGTAATAGTACATGGCAAGGATCCTCAAGCCCCTTCATAAACATCAACCATCCTGGAGCCTGTTCAAGTCATCCTCTTGGCAAGAAAGGGAGATTGTAGGGACTTCCATAGCTTGAGCGTTAATAGCCTTTATGTCATCATGGCACACGCTTCACCTCCCACATGAACCCAACGATTGAATCCAAGTGCAAAAGCTGGAAGGATGGAGAGAAGGAAAGAAGAGAAACTAATGGAAAGTCAGAGAACAGATTTTGTTTTGCAGTCCCGAGAGAACACTGAAATAACTAATAGTGAGGTAGATGGACTTGCTTTCTCCTCAGATAGTTGCCAGGTTTCTGCTGACGGTGTCAGCTCTCTGCATTGGATGCATCTGTTCCTTAATCGTGTGGAGCAAGAGCCAGAATGGGTGACTTCATTTCTGAAGAGGAACGGAATGGTTCCGAGATTCTGGGAGGCATTAAGACAGCCCAAATCAACAGAACGTTTGGCTGGGACCTCAGAGAAGTGACCCACACAGAATCTTCAACCTTCCAGGCATCTGTTAGTGGGATCAGCGGATGGCACAGCCATTGCTTAAAATACTGCGAATTGCAGTGCTTCTGCCTGCATTTCCCTCTCATTAGCAGAGTGTCAGGGCCTTACTGGAGGGAAGAAACCAAAGGGCTAGAGAGAAGGTGGAGGGAAAGTCAACCAGGGATGAAGACAGAGGAGAGAGAAAGCAAAGAGGATGGCTCTGGGCTTCCTTGGGATCTGTGTGGGCTCTTAAAAGCAATCATGGTGGGCTTTTGAGTAGAAAACCAAGCTAAAACAGTATTTAAAAATCTTCAGATACCCATTCTTGCCTCAAACAACAATCACTCAGAAAAAGACTCTCACGAATGGAAGGAAATGATGCCATTGTTTTATTTTCTATGGGAAGTCATAATAGTTTTTAAAAGGTTAATCTCCTTCTCAGCCCTGTTTTTTCCCTTCCAGTGACCCCAAGCTGAAAAGGAAAAATATTTGCACTTGGTGTTTAAAAACCACAGTGAATTAGCTTTTGTTGTTCATGGCAAAGCCACTATTTAGCTGCCCAGAATCAAACCAGATGTCAGGGAAGAAAGAAGGTCTCGCATCCTGTGAACTTGCCTTTCACCTTTGCAGAAGGGCCAAGGGGAAGGCTGTGCTGAGAAGACAAAATGGAGAGAGTTCGGTGGTCAGAAAACCTGACACGCAGTTTTGATGCAACCACGGGTTAGATCTTTGTGGGATGCTGTCTCTGGGACTAGAATGCAACAGCTCTGGACCCCAGATGCACAATGCCTCTTGACTTCCAGAAGTTTCTTCTGTGGATACTAGGCCAGCAACACTATTCTCATAGAGGGCAGAGACTAAGGCGAAGAATAGAGAAGTATGGAGAAGAGAATTAGGAGACAGTAAAAACACAAAAAAGAGGTCAGCGGGACTTACTGGCACACTCAGTCTATCAGAGAAGGTGAAAACAAGAAACCCTAAAAGGAAAAGAATATATTTTCTTTCTGCAGCCTTCCAGGAGAGTATGAGGAGTAGATTATTATTCAGTCTTGTTTTTCTTTAGCACACCACCCACCACAGCTCACAGCTTAAATTAGGCAAAAAAAAGTTCCTGTGGGGCTTAGTCTCTTTCTCACTGTTTCCTAAATCTAGCAGCGAAAGAAAGCAGGAAGTCCTCTCTACGCTGAGACCCTTTTTATCCACTCACCAAACATTTACTAAGCCCCCACTTTGGTTAGATGTTTGGGTGATACCAGAATGCCTTGGGTACTATTCCTGCCCATGAGAAATTTATAGCCTATTGGAGAAGATAGACAAGTTCATAACAACAACAACAACAACAATGTAATAATAATGATAGGTACCAATTTTCAAAATTTAATGATGCGCCAGTGACTGCACTTGCCATATAGTATCTGATTTAGTCCTTATAATAACCCTGTGCAGTAAGTTTTATTATTCCCATTTTACAGATGAGGAAATTGAGGCTCAGAAAGCTTAAGGAACATGACCAAGATCACATACCTATTAAGCTAGCAGGAGTCTTTGTTTTTATCACTGATGAAGCCCAAGTGCCTAGAACAGTGCCTGGCACATCATAGGTGCTCAATAAACATTTGCTGGATGAAGAAAGCAGCTGGGCTGCAGGGAAGGGCTTTCTGGGACATCAGAGCTGAGCTTTGAAGCATGGCTGGGATTTACGCAAAGAAGAGGGTAAAAGGCACACCAGGAAGAAAACAGGAAATGAACAAATGCATCTCTAAGGAAACATAACTGTTGTACAACATAGCAAAAATGGGCAGGAGGGAATAGTAATCAAGAGAGGGAAGCTCAGGTCAGAGAGACCTGGGTCCTACCGTGGCTCTGCCACCTGTAGGTTGTGTGAACATGGCTAAGTCACTCAGTCTCTCAGTGCCTCGTTTTTCTTATCTGCAAAATGGTGATAAGAATATTACCTACTATGGTTGTTAATTTCCAACCAAACCTTCCATGTTTGCCTTCTCCTTCAAATTGACAAAATCTCAATTTTTTAAACAGGGTCCATTGCCATACAACCAAGAGGCTACCTGTTCAGGCCCCCCTTGTAGCTAGGGGCTGCTATCTGGCCAATGGGATAAAAGCAATTGTGGTGGATTTCTAGAAAGTCTCTTTAGGGGACAAGCATCATGCTCCTTCTTTTATCCTCCTGCTTGGGCCAATGATGTGATGAGTAGAGCTCCAGTAGTTATCTTGGACCACGAAGATGTGGGCCACAATCTAATAATGGTGGAATCTGGAGCTGGAAGGAAGCTTGGTCCCTCATTACTGCTGAGTCTCCATACCAACCCTGGACTACTTTTACATAAGAAAGAAAGAAAATGTCATCTTTTGGAAGCCTTTGCTAATCCCCAACGGATATATTTACCTCAAAGAGTTGTTGGGAGGATTCAATAAGATAATGCAGACCAAGTAATTAGCGCCGATCCTTAAACATAGTAAGCACTCAAAAAATCTGAGCAATCATGTTTTGTTGCTATTCTTATCACTGTTATCATCATTATCATTACAAAATCTAGAATACTCCCTTATTCTGCATTACGCTGAACCATCTTCATTCAGTTATTTAATCAATTTGCTTTAAATTTCTTAGGATCACGTCTTTCATGAGAACCTATTCATAAGTCTTCCTATCACAGGGTCCCTGATAATAGAGCAAAATATTTCTCTTCGAATTTCATCACCAAAACATCCACACAACCAATAATATTGAAAATCGCGGCCTGTTAGTAAAAGGGGGGTTAAGTAGGTTAACACTTCTGAGCATGGAGACTGGGAAGCATTAATTAAATCCTAAGTTTGGTCAAATATCCCTTTTTTGGAAAGCTCCATGGCAATTCAGTGCCTCAAAAGAGTCTCCCTTTTCCCAACCAGACAGACCTTTACATTTCAGGACACAGACAAAAACATGTAAAGATACAATTTACTTAAAAAGTTCGGAGAGTCAGCATGGTATGCTGGACTTCAAGAGATTTGCCAAGAACACTGGATGCTTTTATTTAAATCTCTGTTTCTTAGTGTCTTTGACAGATTGTGTGGTTTGTTCCTGAACTTGATCAATAAATGTTTCCTAAAAGACCTAAGAAAGGAAGGAAAGACAATGAATTAGAATGAGTGGTTCCCATTGGTCAAAGGATTGGCTGAGTTAAAATTCCCAAGGATCCACTAAGGAAAACTGCAGAATCTCAGGCCCCACCCTAGACCCACTGAATCAAAATCTCTGGATGTAGGGCCTGGGAATCTGTGTTTTTAGAGCTGCCTCTAGTGCTTTCACTAGAAGGGGCATGAAGGAAGCAGGATGCAGGAAGGGAAGGGAGTAAGCAAGGATGTGGCCTCAGCTGGAGATTTGCTTCAGCCTGATCCCGCAGGAAGCTCTGGAGTACAAATTGCACCACAGAGCTGGTCTCACCTTGAGGCAAGAGGGTTGGAAACAGCAATTCTCTGGGGAGGGGGCAGCTGTAGCCTTTAGCAGCCCACACTCACAGTAGCTGGAGGAGGAGTGCACCAGCTGGTAAAGGAGATATAGGCAGGGCATCAACTGCATCCACTACCAACTCTGACCTGCTAGGCTGTAGTGGAGCTGGCCTCAGTATTTTTGTGGTTTTGCTCTCCACTGAAGCCCTAATGTCTATACTCCCTTTGCTGACCTGGCCTGAGTTTACCTTTTACAGAAGGGTCTTGGAGAATCATTTAACCTGTGGGAAGGCTTTCAGAATCTGATATGGTCCTTTCAGTGACCAGGGCCACTGAGCTGGCACACCAGATTATCAACATATCTGCTGGGGTTAACATTAGCACGCTAAGTTGTGCCAGGAGTTGGCCCAAAGTCAATGTCCCAGAACCCTTCTCATGAATTCCAGCCATATTCATTCATATGCTCCATAACAAGTGACTCAGGGAACCCGGCTGTCTGGCGGTCCTTACCCTCGCTCTTCTCCCTTGACAAATCAAGATGCAGGCCACTGAACTTCCTTTGGCTTATTCTCAATGACTCCTAAATAGGTCAAATCACTTTGGAGACTGGCCAAAAGCTAATTTCGTATTCACTGCTGACCTGTTTTATTCCTCTGGCATTTCAGGAAAAAGTTGGGTGAACGCCTTTTCTCCTTGTTGAAGTTCCCATCCCCTAGAGCGAAATCTGCAACCCAGGCCACTGAGATTTATTCAGAGATACTGCTCCTTGTCAGTGGATTGCTACCCAAGCTTGCTTGCTGCCCATCTGCTGGATTCCTGTACATATGTGAACATGTGTGGAAAGATTAAAGGCCCAGCAGGCCCTGGCTGGAGCTGCCTTGCCCCACAGCTGTCCCACCCCCAGCAGGCTTAATGCCAGGGTCTTTTGAAGCAGTCCTTACCACATGGTCAAGAAATGGGGAGCATCAATGATAAAGCATACTCCAGTTCTCCATGTCAGTTGCTTTTCATCATGAGATCAGCCAAGTAGAGTTTATGTAGCACTCCATCCTCCTATAAAGCCCCACAGCTACTCACTCTCTGCTCTCATCAAGGAAGTGCCACCATTTTGATTTCTTATATTGGAGCAGAGACTCAGGAAAGGAAGTAAAGAAGGGAGCAAGGAGTGAGGAGTGCTGAAAAAAGGGAACAATATGTTTTCCTTTTGTGGTTCATTCAAATCTGAAAGGAAGCTCAATACTTCCAACCAGTCAAAGCATGGAGCTAGAAAAATTAAAAATCCAGGCCTGGCTCAACTTTTTCCAGAAGCTGCTCTGTGGCAATGCCTTTATTTAATTGTAAGATGTCAATCCCCCTCTCCGCCTCACCCCAGATTTCACCATTTGTTCTGTTTTGAGACATTTAGTTGTTGTTTTTCCTTTTTCTTCATACACTGAGAAATATCTGCAGATGCGTCTGCGTGGCAATCTGGCCCTACCATAAGAACAGAAGTTGTGATTCTTAATAAGATTCTCCTCACTCTTCCCACTAAATCTGAAGCCACCATGTAATGGAAGTTTCCTCATGGTAATAATATAATAAATAATGATAAAATTAATTTTATATTCATTCAGGTCTTTATTAAGCACCTACTATATGTCAGGCATTGTTTTAAATGCTTTGTATGTACCTTTTCAATTAATTCTCACAACAATTCTATAAGGTAGATACTAGTGTTACTTCCATTTTATGGATCAGAAAACTGAGGTGAAGAGAAGATAAATAACTTGCCCAGGGCATTGGAAATGCTAACTGGTATAGCCTGGGCTCCTAACCACTGTGCTGAGTTACCCCAGTGATAGAGGTTAGGGAACTCATTATCCTGCCTCAGAAAGCACAGACTCACCATCTTCCATTACTCACATCCCAATCACAAGTCAACAGTGAGTCAAGATGAGGATTGAAATCCCAGCTACCCACAGGAAACACCTGTCACTTGCTTTGCTGAGTGTTTCAGGAGGAACCTTCATGTGCAGATGGAGATGCATGTGTGTGTGTGAGTGTAAGTCCACGGGTGTGTGCATGCATGTGCATGCATGGATGGCTACATATACCCTCTTATGCAATGCTCTCCCTTGATCCTGGATAAGAGGTTCCTATTCATAGTAAAATTGAAAACAAGACCTTAACCTTTCCACCCTAGGTGGCTCCCCACAGCTATTTCTACAAACTGGGATGGGAAAGGCACTAACATACCCGTCTAGCAAGGCTGAGAACCCTCACCCTAGGCCTGAACTGCCCCTCAGTACCAGAACTTTCCACTTGGCAAGGGCTCCGGTTTTGGCAAGAACAATTGCCACTTACCTGAATCATCACAGGGAGTCCAAAGATGAATTCATACAAATGCAGATGTTTTGGAAGAAGGAGCCAGAATCTGTTGAGCCAGAAGTAGGGCCCCCAAGTTCCCATTTGGGGGCTTTTCGCCCTCCAGGCTGGCACTCCCTCTTCCCCTCTCCAACTCCCTCGCCTTCCTGATATAAAAGGAACCACACCTTACTTTGACCCTTCCTAGCACCAAAGTGAAAACACCTGATAATGGTTTAAGTGTCAGCCTTTCCTACCGTATTTGCATTTTAATAGCAATTACAGGTCTAATGCTAAAAGGATAAACCTAGAATGATGGAACTAGAGGGATCAGTCAGCAGGTGGAAGAGAATTTGGGCATGGAAGGGGAGAAGAAACTATTGGGTTTTCTATAGTTCTAGAACTAGCTAACACTTCACTTAAGATTTCTTGAGGATTCTAGTAAAGTAAAACTACATTTTACCCAGAAAGAGGAAAGATCATTAAAATGGTCTTAAGAGCAAGACCATTCAAGGACAGAGAGACAACATTAGGTATTCTTTAAGGTTCCTAATATTTCTAACACTCTGATTTAACCTTTATATCCCCATCTTTTGATGACTCTGTCTCCTTTAAGGTGAGTGCTGAAGAAAAGGCTTGGCTTCCCCAAATTCGAAAGTATTCAAGATGGTGGCACAATTACTGTCTTAGTTACGTAATTCCTGACTCTAAGAGTTCAGTGTATTAATTGAAAGGCATTTTGTGCTAGCCAGCATTGTGTGGTCATGGCTTCTCTGACACTCTGCACTTTGGACCTGGAGACAGAAAAGTTAGGGTATCCAATTCAATAAGGAGCCCAGGAAAACCTCAGTCTTTGCATGTCATTTAGCATGAAATCATTTCCACCAGAATGGTGCTAGCCTTCACTGAGGTTCTGATGGATGTGAATTAAGTTTATTTAGTTTGGCTACCTCAGATAAGCAAATTCCAGAAGCTTTCCAGTTCCTTTTAGATTTATTTGAAATGACATTATGCACTCAGATGCAGGATTCTTGAATGAGTCCAACATTAGGAGAATGGATATGATAGAATGATAGGACTGGCGAAAAGCTTAAACCGTCAACTTGAGGGAGGGAGAACATTTGAAGGAGATAAAACCCATTTTCTCATTTGCCCACTCAATGACAAGAATCAAACACTTGATCAGCTACAAAACTTGCAGTAATGGGACCAAATGGTTAGATTTGGAATTGTAGTCTTTTTTTATTTGGGGAATTCAAGTAAGAGATCCTTCAATGTGTAAAAATGGGGTAGCTTTCATTCTTCTGAATTCGAAATGGTTTGAAGATGATGCAATTCACAAACAGAACAAAGTTTTTAATGCTGTACAGACTTTGTCTGGCCCTCTCCTTTGAAACTTGCTAAATTACTTTTGCTGCCTTTGAGTTATAAGATGCTAACCTCAGTGCTATATCTTTACCCTGAGTGTTTTTGGCCTGGAGTTTCATTCTGTTGCTGCCCTTTACCTTTTGGAAAGCATATCAATGAACAAAGACTGGAAGGCAAAAGGCAAGAAAACCTGCCTTATCTTTCTGACACTGACGAGGAGTTCACTAAGAATTTAGCAAACTTTCCAGTGTTTGGTCCCAATAAGCACAGTAGCCTGGTCTAAGTCCTTCATGGTGTCATCCCATTTAAGTTCCTGCCATGTCCAATCAGAGAGAGGTCCATTCCAGGGCTGGCTGGGAGCAGCAGTATATTTAATAGCTGTATCAGTAACAATGTGAGATTATTCTATGCACCTGAAAACACTAAATGATAAAGTCCTGGAAGCTGAGCCAAAAGGGTACCTGCCATTTCTGACTGGCTGCAGAGTGATTCTCCCACTCCCAGCTCTCTGTCAAATGTCCTAACCAGCCTATGAAAAAACCCACTGCGGGGCCAGTTTTCTAGAAAAAGAATGAGGATGATTAACTTGCCCTAATCAGCTTTCAAAGCACTGAAGGACTCAGGGATAGGATGGATAAGGAAAGCAGAGGATAAAGTTTAGATTTGCTGGGTCCAACGCAGCAGCCACTAGCCATTTGTGGCTATTGAGCACTTGAAATGTGTGAATGAGGAACTGAATTTTTCATTTCATTTAACTTTAATTAATTTGAATACTGATGCTCCATTCAGTTATTGGAAGAACTTGAATAGGCGAATCTACTTTTTCTAATTTTGTGGAATTTTATGAATTCTAAATACAGATCAAGTACTTCTGATGAAAATTTAGCATCTGAATTGAGATGTGCTATAAATGAAAATACACACTGAATTTTGAAGACAACATGAAAAAAGAATGTAAAATAAGTCATTAATATCTTATATTGACTTTATATGATTTTATTTTCATATGATTATATTTTTGCTGATTTCATATGCCAAGATGATATTTTCTAAATATTGGGTTAAATAAAATGCATTATTAAAATTAATTTCACCTGCTGCTGTTTAATTTTTTAAGCGGCTACTAAAAATTTTAAATTACATAAATGCCCCACATTATATTTCTAATGGGCATTGCTGGCTTCAAATGAACAAAATCAAAACATTTCAAATTGATGTTTTACAAGTAAGGATTATAAAGTGTTGAGAAGAAAATATGAGGTTTTTTTTCCTTTTTCTCCCCAAAGCCCCCTGGTACATAGTTGTATATTTTTAGTTGTGGGTCCTTCTAGCTGTGGCATGTGGGATGCCTCCTCAACATGGCTCGATGAGTGGTGCCATGTCCGTGCCCAGGATCTGAACCGGTGAAACCCCGGGCCGCCGAAGCAGAGCGTGCGAGCCTAACCACTCGGCCATGGGGCCAGCCCCGAAAATATGAGTTTTTAATCAGCTAAGAAATGAATTAACTCATGGTGTTTTGGAGTAAGTTAGCAAGCCCCCCACTGAGTGGGCCAACTTGGGGGCGCCTGTTCATTGGAGGTTTCCATGCTAAAGCTGGTTGGGGTGTTCTAGAACAGTGGTTCTCCGGTTTGGGTCAGGGGAGCCCTGGGGGTCCCTGAGATCCTTTCAGGGAATCTGCAAAGTCAAAACTATTATCATAATGATACTAAGACATTCCTTGCCTTTTTCGCTCTCATTCTCTCCTGAGTGACATGTGATGCCATATCAGCTGGAATGCAGAGGCAGATATGAGAATCCAGCAGATTCTCTTAAGCCAGACTGCTATTAAAGAGATTTACAAAAAAAAAAAAAAGTAAAAGAATGCCACTCTTCTAACATTTTTTGTCTTGGAAAATATAGTTGTTTTCCCTCAAAATATTTTATTTATAAACATGTAACGTGTATAATGTAGAGTATGTACTTACTATTGTTAATCTTGAAATAAATTACCAAGTAACTATTTTCTACTTGTTAGTTTTAATTCCTAATATGATAAACATTGATATAACTGATATGAACTAAAGATCTTTGGGGTCCTCAATAATTTTTAAGAGTGTAAAGGGGTCCTGAGATCCAAACCTTTGAGAGCTGCTGTTCTAGAAGGGCTTGGTAGCAGATGCTGTTGATAGTCCATCCCACAGCTCCTCAGCCCACCTCTGCGGTCTCCTGCAGCTGCTGCGGACAGTTTCTCCCCTCAAACACCTGGGACTCTCTGTTGTTCTGCCTGAGGGCTGTCTCTCATGCTGCAGGGCTGTTAGTAAGAGTCCAAAATTAGAAACAACCAAATGCCAATAATCAGTAGATTGGATCGATACGTTCTAGTGCTTTCACACCGTGGAATACTACACAGCAACGAGAACAAACAAGCCACTGCTCCATGCAAGGACGTGGGTGAATCTTATAGATATTATAGTGAGTAAAAGGAGCCAGACGCAAGAGAGTACATGTTGTATGATTTCATTTTTATAAAGTTAAAAATCAGGCAAATCTAATCTATGGCATTAGAAATCAAGGTAGTGATTTGCCTTTGGGGAGGAAAAAGAGACTGTGGGGGATTCTGGGAGCTGATAATGTTCTAGGTCTTGACCCGGCTGGTGGGTATAGGAGTGTGTTCATTTTTTAATAATTCAGTGATCTGTATGACTTGGGCACTTTTTAGTATGTATGTAGGACATCGCTCAAAAGGTTAAAAAATCAAATATTAATTATTACTTTTATACCATGTTCTGCTAGGCACAGGAGAGGATAAATGGAATTTTCAGACATGGTTTCTGGTTTCTGCCTTTACATCAGTCCTCCTGAGAGATAAATAACAGTAGAAGATATAATTCGGGAGTGGACAATTTGGGGTGGGTTGTTGGCTTGGAC